CTTTAGTGCATCGTCGAGTGCATGGCAAGTTGTAGCGTGGAGAGACTCGAGAGTACGTGGAGTAAAATAAAAAATACAAGATATAAAATTAAATTTTTCAAGATAAAAAATATTTACATTTTTTCCAAACACAAAATTCTCAGTGAAAATAACACATCTTTAGAAGTATTAAAAAAATAACGGGCTTTCGGTTTCTAGCCTCCCTCATAGATATCACTTTTTTTGTTTAGTTTTTAGCTTTATATTTACCTAATTTGCTGATTGAAATGTATCGAAATAATTTCTGTTGTTTAATTAATACATGAATTAATACATGAATATACAGTTCATTTTCTTCTGCGTAAATATTTCTTTCTTTCATTAATATTTCGTTAGTGTATCTTCAAATTATGAAACCCCCGTTTGATTTTATTCTCATCCCCTTCTCATTTTCACGAAGAAGGAGCCAGAAATCTATATCATGTATTTAAATTTGAAGCACATGCAAAATTAGATTTTCCTCCTCGATTTAATTTCCACTCAACTTCTTTACTCACAGCTCTTCCTTCTTTCAAAGAAATGAAAAACCTGAACTCCTCGTCAAATAAAGTGAACATCGCTCACTTTGCTTGCATCGATTTTGGCAAGACGCAGGTGTGCTTCTTGCATTCCTCGGGGAGAATATTAAATTTCCGTACTCTCGAACTCAATAAGCCGGAGATATTTCAAGAACTATTACAGTAGTGTCGCACGTAAGCACCCATGAGTTCGAGGCTACGGGGTTGGAGTGAAAAGGGCAGTTGGTGTCTGTATGGCAGCTGGTACAGCTTGAATCGACATTCTTTGCGTCTTAGGCTTGTAAAAATATTAGTGCTTTTTGAATTCGATAAATGCTGAAATTTAAGAACATAGTGCATAGTAAGAACTTCTTGAGTTTATAAAAAAAACAAAAAAAAACTAGGAAACGTAAAATTTGCAATCTAATATTTGCGATTTTAGCTCTCGATGTCTGAAGTTTGTCATAAGGTATTTTTCTTCCAGTGTAAGCGCTCCATCAAAATATTCAAACAAAATTTATTTTTTACAGTCAGAAATAATTAGTGGCTGATTGGAATAACAGTAAAGATTCCTAAAAAACACAGTATAGGCATCTGCAAAAGGAAAGTTAGGAAAAATAAATAAACCTTGCATTCTATTTTTTCCTCTTCCATATCGATATATGAAAGATGGCATCGCTTTTTTTCCAATGCAATGCAAAATGTGTAATCAAAATATCAAAACTGAAAATCAAAATTTCGTTTACATAATGAAAAATATTTACTTCTTCATTAGAATGATATTACAACTTCCTAACGAATATCAAATTGACTTCTTCAGAGAAATTTGGGAAAACATAACTTGCTTTCTAATCTTTCTGATTTCAGCACGCTACGTCAAAGTATCGAGGTGTCATAACACTATGAAAGGTAAAATGACGCTTGTCGTGGTGTCATAAGTGTTTTAGTCCAAAGGGTCTTTGTGCCTGAAGGACTATTGTTTTCGTTTTGCGATTTGCGTTGAATAACTGTAAATGCCCGTTTCACTTTTCAAACTGTTGCCATAAAATGTTAGAGTCCTGTATTATATTTGAAGAAATTAAATAATGAAAAATCTGCATAAATATATGTATATTTCTCGCATTGTGATAAAACAACGCTACATAGAGCCATCGACTTTTGAATGACGTAATCCTCCTACGAAAATGGGCCTGTGGAAGACCAAAATTGAAATTTGGAATTTGTATTATTATCGATTTCATATTTTTTAAATCTTTAACGAATTTTTGGTTAACAAAATCAGGGATTTCAAAGCGAGCAATGGCAACACTCTACGGGAAAAAAACCTTTTGTCTTCAGCGCACGGAACTGTGTATCGGAAATTCTAAAGGTATGCTCATTTTAATATTATTTTACGACATTGCTATTGAACTGAATTTTATGTTTTAAGTGCAAAACACTAAACGTTAAAAAAAAACGCCCCTTTGGACGTAATTTAAAATCTGAAAGGTTTCAGATTTAGATTTCAGATTTTTTTTTAAATTTTTCTTCAAAAGGGCAGCAGCCTAGAAGGGCTATTAGTCTCAAAACGGCATTTTGTGGCATTTCACTATAAATGGCTTATCGCTTGTCAAATTGTTGCCACCAAACACCAAACGTTCTGCATTATATTTAAAGAAATTAAATAATGAAGAAGCTGCATGACAGTAGGTGTGTTTCTCGCATTGTGAAAAAGACGACGGTACCTAAAGCCACAAAATTTTGAATAATGTAATCCTCTACCCGAACAAGGACAGCTGGAATCCCAAATTCTTAAGAAACTTTTAACGGATTTTTGATTAAGAGATTCAACGATTTTAAAGCGAGAAATGCAACACTGTGCGAAAAAAGAGAAAGTCAAGGGTGTGCGCAGTGCCACTTTTGTGCAATTGTAGGATTTTTGTTTTAAGTGAAAATAGGTCGATGTGCACATGGATACCGAGTATGTGCAATTCTTAAAAACGCGTCAAGCAGTGAGTGATTCTGCACTTTACCCAAAATTCTATTGCAGACTTTTCGTCACGGGCAATTCTCAAATTGTTAAATCCATAGGATATCAAACAAGGATTTAAAAATTAAACTAGTATGCCAATGGCGTCTTAAGAAATATAGAACTATATAAACTTACGCAATCAGAAATCAGCGCGTACGCTAGATTTGGCGCGCTGTTAAATGGGCGCGTTTGCTAGATTTGGCGCTTTTTCCGCATACATTTTCGCTGCAATTTTTTTACGGCCCTCAAAACCAAATAGTAGCAGTAAAAGAAACAACCTTTATTTGGCGTAGCTTTAAACAAAAAACGCAATCGATTTCGAGAACAAACAGGTATCTCTTCTTCAGGAGAAAAGAAATTTACAAGACCGGAAAGCACTGCGCGTAACGGTCTTATTTATACCCTACTGCAGTAAAGCGGATAGGAAGGTAGAGCCATCTGTTGGCAAAATTAGTATCGGAAATAGAAAAATTAACTTAATGGAATTTTTAAAGCGTTTGGAAGGACTGGGCTAAACTTAAAGCCATTAACTAACTAAACTAAATCACTGTGAATGTGAAAAGCTTCAAGAAAATCTAATTCACCAATGGAAGAAGCTTTTGGGATAATTTTTGCAGATTCTAACCCTTTCCTTTCTAACACTTTTTAAAAATTCTATTAACTTAATTTTTTATTTCGTTACTAATTTTACCAACAGATGGCGCCACCTTCCTGTTCGCTCTACTGCAGTAGGGTGTAAATAGGACCATGATGCCCGCTGCTTTTCATTCTTCTAGTTTTTATCATTTTTTAATGCAGTTTTCCTACTTCTGCTCACTATCTTGACTTTTGTGATAAGAAGGTATAGGAGAAGAAGATAAGAAGGCACATGATAAGAAGGTACATGGTTTTGAACCATTAGACACTCCGAATAACCCATGGCTCAGAATCAATAACCCTTGGCTTTGGCTGCTTTCCATTCTTTCAAAATTCCTTTGCTCCTGATGAAGAGGGAGCTGTTTGTCTTCGAAATCGATTGAGTTTTTTTCTAAATCTACACCAAATGCAAGGTTGTTTCTTCAATAATTTTAACTTTCACTTTGGCGTGTTTCTCTTCTGATTTAAAAAATTGCATAATTCATTAATAACACCCCCCCAGTGAGAACAATCTGAACGCTGTTGCTATTCACACTTGCCTTAGACAAGTAAAAATGTAGACTACCAACTAAAGAAATTAACGTGACGGCCGTGGCCATGTTTTGCACCAGTTTAGATATGTAGTTTAGATTATGTTTAGATATACCTGTATCAAATAATCACAAAAATATGGGGTTATTAAAAAAGAAAGAGCAGATTGCAAACATGTATTTCTTCCAAACTGCATAAGATAGAAACATGATTCTAACGTTAATGGATAGAGAAAAGTGTACAATTTAGTACGGGTAAAAGTTCCAATCATAGCCGCTTTGGCGCTGTTGTTTGTTCTGGTATTATTTGTCGGTTGGTAGTCTGTAGTGAAATGGTGGCGACACCACAGCAGAAGTCTTTTTGTGTTCTACAATTGGCAATCTCGTCTTATTATCCAAATATTTTTAGTTTAACTATCTACTATCTCTAACACCACAGCTTGCCTCTTCAATCTCTAATACAGTCCTACAAATGCCCTTGTAAGGCCATGTTTTTCCCTTTGACAACCTCAATAATCTCCTGGTGCAGCCTCGTGTGTCTCCAGGAAGCTTTTGCTGTAGTTAGAGGAGGGCGTAGAACACATGCCTGTTTATCTCTGTTAGACACCAGGCGTTCCTGTCCTCCGTAACCTACCTACCTACAATTGCCAAAACTAGAGTCCATTGTTGCAGTTCAGCGAGCATTTCGCCGCCAATTTAATAAACACCCACCGCGTCATAAGCAAATTTTACGAGTGGCATCGAAAATTCGTAGAAGATGGTTGCATCTGCAAAGGGAAAAGCACGGCACGTCCACGCACATCGAATGAGAATGTCGCGCGTATTCGAACACTTTACGAAAGGAGCCGAAAGAAATCCACATCGCGAGCAAGCAAAGAACTTAAAATTCCTCAACCAACGGTATGGCGAGTTCTAAAACATCGTCTGCATATGAAGCCATACAAACTGCAGTTATAGCAAGCATTGCATCCTGACGACCACAACAAAAGGTACGAATTTAGGTAGCATGTTAGATAATATGGAAGAAGACAATTTTGCTGAACGATTAATTTTTTCCGATGAATCCACTTTTCATCTTTCTGGTAAAGTTAATCGCCATAAATATAATCACACAAATTCATTGACAAATATAATCATGTGTGCCATTATTATATTCACATATATAATAATAACACACATTCACAAATATAATCAACTGGCCACGCAGACATAGATATATTTAACTTAACTAGAATTTGGGCAACTGAAAATCCTACGGCAGTTGAACATGAAAGAGATTCACCAAAGATGAACATCTTCTGTGCGATATCTGTAACCAAAGTGTATGGGCCCTTCTTTTTCATGGAGAAAACTGTGACAGGAATAACCTATTTAGATATGCATCAAAACTGGTTATTTCCCCAAATTGAAGATGATTCAGATGACTTCATCTTCGTGCAAGATGGTACCCCGCCTCTCCCAGGTCTCCAGATATCACTCCTTGCGATTTTTATCTCTGGGGTTACGTAGAAGAGCGTGTTTTTATCCCTCCTATGCCTGACACTCTTGAAGATCTACGACATCGAATTATTGAAGCAGTGAATTCGATAACCAAAGACCAGCTGATTCGTGTCTGGGGCAAGAAATGAGCCACTGTTTTGACATTTTGACAATGAGCCACTGTTTTGACATTTTGACAATGAGCCACTGTTTTGACAGCATTGAATATGAGCACAGTGTAACACACTGTGCTCATATTCAATGCATACCATAATAGTAAACTTTTCTCTATCCATTAACGTTAGAATCATGTTTTTATCTTTTTGTAGTTTGGAAGAAAGGAATGTTTGAAATCTGCTCTTTCTTTTTGAATAACCCTGTATATGTGAAACTTAACAGACTCAAACTTATCTTATTACGTGTAATAAAGACAATGCTTAAAACTGCATATGAAAGCCCATTCCTATTGAAAGAAAAAAATCTGATGTGTACATCACATGACTTCCTTGTACGGAATATTAAATTATACGCATTTTTCTTGCATTTTATTTAAACTTATGAGATTGAATTAAACCTACTTCGCCGACAGCGCAACCACAATAGAATAAATGCATTCTTTAAAATTCACTTTGTTTACCATAGCGACACTCTGGCACTAGGTTTACTTAACAGTATTATATTTCATTCATATTATAACTCAGAATGCACAAAATGTATACCATTTAAAGAATTATCTAATCGTTGCCACATGTTCTATTCAAATACTATAATAAAGCTAGAACAATGTATAAAACAAATTAAGCAAATAAAAAAAAAAAAAAAAAAAAAAAAAAAAAAACAGTTTTTCACAGACGATTGAGTATTTCTCATTTAATTAATTCAGTTCTTACTTCGCGAGAAGGCAAAAATACATAAAAACTTAAAATATCTATATTAAAAATTACGAAGTAAATCTCAAACGCTTATTTCCTCGAAAAAATTCCAGAAAGAAATAAGCATGATTTTATTGGCAATAATAAATGAATGCGTTATCTTTGTTGTTGCGAAGCTAAGTTTCTCTAGATTGGCAACGAATCCACTAGTCTCCTGTTTCAAATGTAAACATTAATGGCCGCCATTAAAAACAGGCTTAGCGGCAATTAAACAACTTTAAAATTGCTGATAATTCTAAAAATATTGCACACAGATTTACTAAAGGCATAAAATCCTTAACCGGAAGATAAAAACAACATAATTCAATCATTTTTAAAGCAAAAAATGTACAATTTACAAACATATAAGAGTAAAGAAACTGAGATCACTGAGCCGGGTAATAGAGTGGATATATATATATATATACGTTTGGTGCGGCCGATTGCAACCAAAATACGAGGTGCACATATACATGTTATAGCAGTCCTATATAAAAAATTTCAACATTCTGAGGATACTCGTTTTTGAGTTATGCGAGATACGTACGTACGCACGAACGTACGCACGTACGTACATACGTTCGTACAGACGCCACGAAAAATTCTCTTCAGAATTAATTTTAAAGCAGTTTTATAATTTTTTTGAAGGAAAAGAGTATTTTATTCTGTCCTTACGTACATATATCACGCACATCGTTAAATTGCATTCGGTAGCTGTCAAAATGGATATTTTCGTTGAAATATGCTGCCTGAAACTTTTCACGATTACAATACTTCCTTTTTACTTCGTACAAGGAAGTAAAAATGTCAGTTTCAGCACCATAATCATCACAATCTACGTTAGGCATAAAATATTATCATACATAACAGCATTTTTAAAAGAGATTTTCATCAAACCGAAATTATTTTCTGAATCAAGGATATCTTTTAGGCTCGTTATTTGAAGAGAAGTATTTGCTTTTCCACGTCTTATTCCATTTCAATGTCTGAAAGTTCAGTTCGTGTACGTTCTTTTTCGAGCCAAGAAAGCTATAAATAAAAAGCCACAAAAGGAAGTTTTAATTTCTCTCTTCAAAGTTTCATGTTGACTTATTTATTTAACCCTAATGAGAACTGGAACTGTCTAGACGACAGTTTTTATCTTAAGGAAAGACAAATAGTGATTAAGGATTATATTTCATTCAACCCCCCACGTGGCTTATCATGCAGTAAAAACGTTTCTTTTAATGTATGGTAACTTTAATCTTTGCTAGTAATGATGTAATGCTGTCAGCAAACGCAGTTGAAAGTCTTATGAAGGAGAGCTAAATGATGCTTAGAAGTAAATCCAATTAGAAATAAAATCACTTAGCGATAAGTTGAGATGTTAACTTTCTGCAGAATTTATGCTTTTAACTAGATATTATTCAGGCATTTAACTCGCCATATAGAGCTATTATTCATAGATGTAATTAACTGGTCATACAGAGATAGATATATTTAACTTTTTGATAGATATATTTACTATTATTCATGGATATAATTAACTGGTCATATAGACATAGATATGTTTAATTTATTTATAGATATATTCAGTATTATTCCTAGATATATTTACTGTTATTCATAGATATATTTATTAACATATATATACAATATATTCATAGATATATTTACCTGGCCATATACAGAATTCACAAATATAATCTACTGGCCAAGCAGACATAGATATATTTAATTTATTCATATAGACATAGATATGTTTAACTTATTAATAGGTATATTTATGTGGACATTCGCTCCTTCACAAGTAACACGTATTACGGAGAAAACATACCGCAAAATTGGTTCTCCACCATTACATCCTTCCAGAATTACATTCTCAGGACTTGGCCGAGACACTATTATGAAAGATTTTCAGGGAATAAAGGAAAATGAAAATCAGTTGAAGAAAACAGTTCAGGAAAATTATGGTGATACACATGACGATTTAGAATTGGATTTAGATGATGACAATTTGGATGTGGATGATCACGATCACAAAGATGATGCTGATACCAATCATGGAGCTCATGACGATGATGTTGATGAAGATGGTGATGACGCAGACGACGACATGGATCAAGATCATGATATTGATGATGACGACAATCATAACGCTAATGGTGCTGCTGCTGATGATAATGACACTCCTGAAGCTAATGAAAATGGTGATAATGATGTTGATCAAGATGACGTTGTTGTTGTTGATGAAGATCATGTCAATGAAGATGATGTTGATGATAACGAAGATGATGATGATGACAGTCATGAAGCTAATGATAATGATGATGTCGATAATGATCCACGCGTGCAGAATACTGAAGAAACTATGAAAAATAAACTGAATCAGTTTGAACAAGCATGTGCTGATCAAGCAAACGAGAAAACACCTGCTAAAAAAGAAATTCCCAAAGCAGAAAAAAATCCAAGGAAACTACTTGTCTTTCGCATTCTAGTTGAAGCTTTTGAGGCAATAAAGAATGCTGGAATACTTGGAGAAAAATTATTATTTCATACATTTTATCTGCTCAAGCCCAAAGAAACGCAAGAAAAAGTATAAACGAAGAAAATTTAAACGAACTTCAAAGACAATGAAATTGCTGACACAGCATGATGATGAAAAAGCTGCATTATGCATTGAAGCTCAACGGAACCTCCTCCGTTTACAGCACGCACATACACGGCAGTATAAGAAACGTCGCAAACCTGCCTTCAAATACAAACTTGGACACCAAATGCCAATCCAGCCTGAACTGAAACTTCCACTTGGACTGAATCTTCGACTTGAACTGAAACTTGGACTTAAACTTCGTCCCAAATTCTTCGATCCTTATGAGACAGTACATCCCTTTGATTGTTACAAAGTACGAAAGATACGCCATGAAGACACCATTATGATGTCAACCTGTACTGATAAGATGAACTGGTGGTGCACAAAGCTAACATTCGCCACCTGGACATTGATTGTTTTTCTCTTTTTCTGCTTTTTGATTTTTTCCTTTCTTTTCAGATCAACCCCCAGGCGAGGACGCCCGGCAAGGCAGAATGGCCGTGTGGACATTCGCTCCTACAACTCAACCGCCTTTTCCTAAATCTGGCAACATTTACAGCAGCGAGATACTTCTTCAAGCTGCGTGAGGAAAGGGACAGACTTCCATTCCGATGAGGTTATGACGTGGCGATGGATGGAACTGAACTATGCCGCTCGAAAACATTGTTTGATGATGTAATTCCGTTTCATGATGAATAGAACTTTTTATCTTACTTCCTTTCGCTCTGTACATACCATAATCATGTTTATTCTTTCATCATTAAATACCTTTAAAATGCCACTGCCTTCCTCTATTTTAATCCTAACCTCATCCCACATTTATTATTATTCCTAGATATATTTGTTGGTATTCATAGATATATTTATTATTATTCATTGATATATTTATTTTCATTCATAGATATAATTAACTGGTCATATAGACATAGATATGTTTAACATATTCATAGCAATATTTTTTCTTATTCCTAGATATATTTATTGTCATTCATAGATATATTTATTATTAGACATAGCTATAATTAATTGGCCTTGCAGACATAGATATATTTACTTATTCATTGATATGCATTTTTATTACATATTCATAAATATATTTACTATTATGCAATTAATATGTTCATAGATATATTAACTGTTCATATAGAGCTATTAGTCACAGATATAATTAACTGATCCTACAGACCTAGATATATTTAACTTATTCAAAGATATAATTCACTGGTCATATAGATATGTCTAACTTATTTATAGATATATTTAATATTAGTCCCAGATTTATCTATTGTTATACGTAGATATATATTTATTATTATTATATATATTATATAATATATATAATATATCTATATAATAATAATATTAAATATATAAATTGGATATATTTATTATCATTAATAAACTTAGAGCATCTAAAGTTGTTACTATTATTCCTAGATATAACTATTGTTATTCATAGATATATTTATTATTATTCACAGGTACAATTAACTGGTCTTGCAGATATAGATATGTTTAACTTACTCATAGATGTATTTATTATTATATAATTAACATATTCATAGATGTAGTTAGCTAGTCATATACAGCATTTTTTCAATCATTAAAGGGCCGTTCCCACTGGGGTTTATCCGAGCTAGCGGAGACAACTGACGTAACCGACCCATCTCCAAAACCAGGTTTTCCCCATAGGGCAACAAATTGAAAAATCTGAACTGCCAGCATAGCGGAACTAGTCGACACATGAAACTGACTCCGTTACCTCAGATAAATCCCAGTGGGAACGGCCCTATAGAGCTACAGCAATGATAATAATAATACCTTAAAATTGACTTCTGATTTTTATTGCATTTATTTCACTACTACAGACGTTATACGATTATATTTGTAAGGCGAGGTTTGGACATTGTTCAGTATTTGTATTAGGGACAACCAGTGGACAAATACTTAAAGCCCCTAAATGGGGATTAAAACGCAGGCTAAAGGGGCTGTTCCCACTGGTGGTTATCTGAACCAACCGTAGTCAGTTCCATATGTCGACTACCTTCGCTGTGCCTGCAGTTCAGACTTTTCAACTTGCTGCCCTATGGGAAAAAGTGGCTTTGGAGATGGGTCAGCTACATCAGTTGTGTTCATTAGCTGAGATGAACCCCAGTGGGAACGGCCCCTTAGTAATAGCTTAACGCATGAGTATTTTCGTCGTTTTCATTCCGTATCAAATAAGTAATAGTTTTCTTTACAAAGCCCTCCACGACATCCGTATCCAAAATGTCGGAATATTATATGAATTTAGTTCCCTTTCGAGAAAATGAACTTAGCATGCAAATGACCAGCCCAACCAGCCACCAGTGGTCAATTAGTTAATGACTACTGAATGCTGATGATAATGATGCTACTGACTGTATCCGAGCCAACGGAGACAACTGACGTAGCCGACCTATCTCCAAAACCAGTTTTTCCCCATAGGGCAGCAAGTTCAAAAATCTGAACTGCAGGCATAGCGGATCTAGTCCGCCCATGGAACTGACTCCGTTAGCTCAGACAAACCTCAGTGTGGATGGTTACAGCCGAAAACATCGCGGCAAAAACATCGCGGCAAAAACATCGCGAACGAAAACGTCGCGGAGAAAACAACGCAAGGCAAAAACGTCGTGGTACAAAATATCGTGGGAGAAAACATCGCAAAGAGAAAACATCGCAGTTCTAAAACATCGTCGTCGAAAATAAAGCGGTTCAAAAACTTCGCAGTTCAAAAACATCGTCGTCGAAAATATCGTGGTAAAAAATAAAGTATCTACAAATCATCGCATGACGATAACATTGCAGACGTGCTTCTTTCAGGCTTTAATAACTGTAATGGATATTCCCATATTGATTTGTGATCGCAAGATGTAAAGAAGGATAATTTTTACTTTCATACTTTTTATTAACTAATAAATTTTTGCTGAGAAAATAAGAATGAAACTTAAGCATAGAAAATTAATGCAACGTACAGAATTAATAGAATTTTAAACCGACATAGTTAACTAACAAATGCCATTAATAAATCATTTTTATGAAGTTTTTACTGGTAATTTTTCATGAAAAGTATAACCTATAATTTGCATTTAATTTTTTATGCTTAAGTTCCTTCTTACTTTTTCAGCAAAAATTTATTGGTTAATAAAAATGTGAAAGTAAAAATTATCCTTCTTTACATCTTGCGCTCACAAATCATTATGGGAACATCGTTTTACAATTATTAAAACCTGAAAAAAGCATGTCTGCGAAGTTGTCATGCGATGATTTGTAGATACTTTATTTTTTACCACGATATTTTCGACGACGATGTTTTTAAACTGCGAAGTTTTTGAACCGCCGACGACGATGTTTTGTACCACGATGTTTTAGAACTGCGATGTTTTCTCTTTGCGATGCTTTCTCCCACGATATTTTGTACCACGACGTTTTTGCCTTGCGTTGTTTTCTCCGCGACGTTTTCGTCCGCGATGTTTTTGCCGCGATGTTATCGGCTGACATCGTGTGGATGGCCCTTGAAGTTAGCTCAGGGTTCGAACTCAGGCAAACGAGTTAACGGCATATTTGATTTTTGCGGTTTCCCCATATATAAAGGGCCATTCATACTGGGGTTTATCTGAGCTGACGAACTCAGTTCCATGTGTCGATTAGCCAAGCCTAGTTCCAGGTGTCGAACTGCCATTCCTGCAGCTTAGATTTTTCAACTCGCTGCGCTGTATGATAAAACCGGTTTTGGAGATGAGTCGGCTACGTCAGCTGTGTCCATTAGCTCAGATAAACCCAGTGTGAACGGCCCTTAATATTAATATGAGCCAGTTTTCTTTTGAAAGGTCTTCAAGAAGATATCCCTCTTCTTAGGCAACTAGTCCTCATATGTTTTAGTACATTTAAATAACCAACTAATTACCAAGCAAGGGCGCAGTTTATTGTCAGAGATTCTTAGCTTTAAACTGTTTATATCGCACACAGTAAAAGTGAATGTTCTGTAAAGAGCAAATGAAAATTGAAAGAAATTTAATCGCCAATTCAGCGAAGATAGACTCGACAAGGAACATATTCGACATATTTAAAGGAAATATTATATTTTAGTAAAAGCTTTGTCAAATATTGTTTCATAATTCCAAACACTGTGAGGAGTTTTGTTCAAGAAAAATTAAATTATTAGACGTAGTCTTTGTTTTACCAAACTTTCCTACATTCAATTTTATCCTGTTTTTCTTATTCTTAGCTTTGCTTGGCGTGTTATTCTTTAGAATTTCAAGAGGCTTCTGGGATAATTTTTAAAAAGAATTTTCTTCTGATTTATCTGAAGAATTTGCGATAAAAATTGTTGCTCTGAAAAAAATACATAGCGTCAAGGAATTCTTTGAATCCACGTTTTTTACTTTCTTGTACGAAGTAAAAGAAGTATTGTAATCGCGAATTTCGGGTATGTTATTTCAAACAAAATATCCATTTTGGCAGCTCTCAAATCCATGTTTTTGCTTGCCATCTGTACGTACGCACAGTATAAAGCGGGTATATATCTTTTCCCAAAGCGAATTGTAAAATAGATATAAAATGGATTCAGAAGAGATTTTTTTCGTTACGTCTGTACGTACGTACTGTCGTACTGTACTATCCTGCCATTATGGTTCTGATAATGATATACTTCGCATTACTAATAGTATACAGCCCAGGTATCCTATTCAGATATCCCTATCCTATCATCACAGTTCTCATTACGATATGGTTCTGATTACTAATAATATAGAGCCCAGTGTCCTGCTCATTTATTACACTTTTAATTACCATAGAATTCTGATTAATAATAGTATACAACCCAGATGTCCTATTCACATATTCTTGTTCAAGCAAATTTCAAATACATTCGAAAAAACAGTAAAGAAATATAGTAAAAAGACATAAACACACACACACACACACACACACATACAAAAAAAAAAAAAAAAAAAAAACTGAAAGGCTTCAGATTTTAAATTACGTATAAG